AGCTGTGCTCTTAGGTTAAAGGCTAGTACAGGTCCTTCCCAGAAACAGTGTGGTGACAAAGTGCCTATTTCACCTCATCTTCCAGCAGACTCCATTATTCTAGTAGCCTCCATTAAAAAATGAATAATAATTAGAAAGGAACCAGTCTGAGGTTATACTAATATAGTAATTTTTAAATAAGGTAAAAATGTAAACAGAAAGAATATACAACAGAAAATTATGTTAAGAATTTATGTATGTAAGTTTCAAACATACATGCCTCCATGAGCTTCAGGCATTAAATAAAACATGGTATCTTCAAAACAAGAACTCAAATAAATGTATACAACAGCTCAAAAAGCAGTAAGACAGTCCAGTAAGACTGGAAAAGTAACAGTGGTCAGGGAAAAAAGAAAGAGGAGAAAAATAAAACCACTATAGAAATGAAAGTCATGTCAGAGTAGCAAAAAGTAAAATGGGCAGTGCTGCGAACAGAATTGTGAAGGATTTAACTGAGAAAAATAAATTAAAATGGAAAAGAAATACAGATCAAATGTAGAATAAATGATAACTACTGAAGACAAAAATGATACAATAAAAATAATTAGTACCTCTGGAGAAGACAATAAAAGAAAAGGAACAAGAGTATTAACAGAAATAGAGGGGGAAAATTCCTAAAATAAAACCTATAACAATTCATGAACTGTAGTATTCAATGGGCCCTTATTGAAAAAATGACTCCTTCACTTAATCTAACAAAGCAAGAGATGAGTCCAAGTAAGAGAACCCTGGAATAAAGCTACCAATTTAGGAAAGAAATTATGATTAGGAAACTGGGTAAAAATATTGTGCACCTTTGCAGTGTAAAAATAATAATGTGATTGAAGTAAGAGAAGAAAGTGAGACTCAAAAAACATGTCTGTTTGAAACAGAAACGAAGCTATGGATATTTATTTTAGGAGACTGTTTAACGTTACTGTTAGGAGCTTAGCTGAGCTGGGAAAGACAGCTGAGCTCTCAGGGGTCAGAGTAGCTTCTTAAAACAGCAAGACAAAAATGAAAGAGTGAGCCTTTATCACTTACTGTGGTGATATAAGCAAGTCTGTAAAATAAAACACCAGTGCCCCCCTCTTCATTTCCCCATGCGACAACACACTAGGGGAGAGCAGATGTGGGGGTCAGGGTAATGTCGAAGGAGTGCTGGCCTTGGGTGGATCCTTGGGAGAATCATAAGGGAGGAAGGCAAGGAATGTTAAGTGCCGAATACCAGCCAGAGCGGGAAGTGTCTTTCAAATTTCCACCACCTTCTCCCTTAAGGAAGCCTTGGCAGAGCTGCATGCAGAGGATCTCTGCCCAAGGCCTCAGATAAAGAGAACCAGACATTCAAACATATGAAGAATGTGCTGGCCAGGGCACCTGAATCCTTGACTGCAGCAGCCCACAGAGACTTGACGTGCTGGTCATATTCCAATTCTGGAGTGGGAAAGACTGTTTCTCCTCAAGGCCTGTGGGGTAAAGCCTTTGTCACTGTCCACAGGCAGGCCTGAACATTCAGAGAGGGTTATAACCAGGAGGAGGACTCCTCAGTTATAAAAATAACTAGTAAAATAAAACTAGTCTGTAATTCATCTAGGTAGGAAATGAGGAATTACTAGCCGCTACTATATAAACTTCACATAAGCAGAAACATTGTTGTCACAGGCTTAGCGCAATGCCTGGCATATAATACATACTCTGAAATATTGGTAGGTCACTTTCTGAGCATTGTTGAATGAACAACATATTGTAGCTAAAAAAATGATCAAATACCAGGCAAATGGTAACAAAGGGTGACAGTTTCAGAATAGACTAGAGTTAGAATGAATTTCAAGGCAAGAGCATTTAAGAGTCCTAGAAAGTTACTTTTATAATGATGATTAATATAGTTCTCAAGAAAGATCTGATTGTTGTATTTATGCACAAGATAATGCCAGAGTTCATAGAGCAAGAGATGATAGGAAATATCCACTCAGTATTTATTGGATACCCACTATATACCACAAAACAGGAAAATCATTATCTTATGAATATAAACTCAAAAATTCTAAATAAAATATGACCAAATGATCAGAAGCACATTAAAAGAATAATGTAGTATAACTAAAATAGATTTTGTTTTGGGTGTATGATAGTAGCTTAGTACTTACGAATTCTATTACTGTTATTCAACATGTTAATAATTGGAAAGAGCAAAACTATATATTGGAAAATATTTGACAAAATGCAGGGTTTTCCAACTGGTTTTAATCTCTCTTAATAAAATTAGGACAAATACATATTACTACAGACGTGTATGTCATTTACTGTCTTTGTGTGTATGTTTCCATTTCTGTTTAAACACAGACACACACATGTATCACCACATCTAGTAGCATGCTACATGATAAAACTTTAAAAGCATCCTCACTAAAATAATGAATAAAACAAAGATGTCTACCTTTTGCACTGTTATTTAGTATTGTTATGGATTGTTCAGTAGCATACTCATGCAAGAGAAATAGCATGTAAATATTAAGGAAGATTCTAAAGAATAATTGTATAAGCCTGGAAAACAAAAACATACCTTTCTAAAAATAGTATGAGGAACAATTAGTGCATATAAGAGGCTGTTTATAAAAATATGATAACCAGTACCTTACTATATACAAAGACATGTTAGAAAATAAAATAGAAGAAAGTTCCTATTTATAGTAGCAACAAGAAACTTACAAACACTAAGAAACAAGTAACAAGAAATATGCATGACCCATGTGGGAATAAAAGGTATTTGAAGAATTGGAAGTATGACTGAATATTATACAAATTGCAGTTCTCTTTAGATTAGCTACTGTTTACTAGAGTAGTCAGGAATTGTTTTCTAACCTACCAAGTTTTTACTAAAGGTTACATGAAAATTAAGTATGAGAAGAACCAGGAGCCTTTCTGCAAAAAGAATAAAGCTAGTAAGGGAACAAATAAAACTGCTCATCAAATGTAATAAACAGTGCTATCACACTGTGTTGACCAAATGTTCGCTAAAAGCAAAGATGTTTTTATGACTTGTATGGCCAGGTTATAGAAAAAGAATAGATTTCCGTTAGGTTTCAAATATCAAATTATTAGAGATAATTTGTGTATCTCCATAACTACTTTCTTAAATTTCAACACATTTAGTGACTTCAAATGCCAGGTTAAATGAAGTTGTGAATGGTTTGGGCAACTATTTTAAAACTCACTATTTTGAAGAATTCTTTAAAATGTAATTTTTTTTTCAATGCCAAGCTGTATTGGAAGCAGTAACTTGGATTACTTCCTTCAGATTTTAGACATAGGATGCTCCTGATATAAAAGACTGTAGTTTTATTTTTACTTTAGTTTTTGAAGTTTAGCTTCAATCAATCCATATTTAGTTAGGAAGTCAGGAAGTTGCTTATCACAATAGCCCAGTGTTGACAGGTTCTTTAACTTGAGTAGGATGTGCTGCCTAATACTGCTCTGCTCTGTGTTTTCTGACAGACTGGGCAGTGCATGATCTTCACATTGTTTTCCTAGATTCCAGGGTTTCAGAGGTGCTATAGGAACTGTTCAGTAAATAATTTTGCTTTTATTTTACATATATACCTTCAACTACTGAAAAGCCTGTGATTTAAAAATGATAGACACGTACATTCAAACTTTTAATACAATAGAGACAACCAATGTGTTCCCCAGATTAATTCACTCTTTACAAAAGCTTGTCCTTGAACTTAAGAAACGTGTCATATAATTAGGAAAGTTGTGATTCTAGTCTTGTTGCTTGTTTCTGGTGAAGCATACACACTGAGAATTGGAAAACCCGTGGCTTGTTTCTCTGTACAGCAGACCCCCCTTATCCACATGGGAGTGCGTTCCAAGACCCCCAGTGGACACCTGAAATCTCAGATAGTCCTGAATTCTGTATATATACCATGTTTATTCCTGTATGTACATACCTATAATAAAGGTAAATATAAATTAGGTACAGTAAGAGATTAACAACAATAACTAATGATAAATAGAACAATAACAACACTATACTTTAGCAAAGTTATGTGATTGCAGTCTCTCTCTTTTTCTCTCTCCATATATATTGTACTCACCCCTCTTCTTGTGCTAGTGTAGGATGACGAAATGCCTGCATGATGAGATGAAGTGAGGTGAATGATGTAGGCATTGTGACATTAGGGTTAGACTACTAGTGACCTGACCATAAGTCAGAAGGAGGATCATCTGTTTCTGGACCCAGATTGACTGGGGAAACCACAGAGATGAGACGGACTACTGTACTGTATTTATCTTCTCATCTATGAAATTGATGCACATTTTCAACTACTTAGCCCAATAGGGATTATATTCATTAATCTTAACTGTTACCTTTTGAAGTTTTTCGACTACACACAACTATAAAACAATATGATAATTATGGATATCTGAAAATGGGACTTTTTTCATTTTGTAATAATTTAACAGAGACCTTACTTGAGCGGGGGGGGGGGTGCGGATAGTGACTGGTCAGCGTACAACATTTCCTAAATAGAAAATATTATTGATAGAAAGGTCTTACACATTCTCTTAGACCCTATGCTAAGAATTCTTTAATTATAAATGAAGTTCTCTATGTTTGACTCCAGAAAACAAAGCGGTGTTAGACTTGAGGTGCCACAGAGGTGTGAAAGAGTTAGGATTCAGGAAATTAGCATTCCAGCTCTGCTTTGGCTGGCTCAGAGTCTTGGGGGAAGCCACTTGCCACTTAGTTTTTTATAGCTTCAATTTACTTCTCCAACTTTCTTCATGAGATTGCTTTGGAAAGTTAGTTTAACTGAAGTTAATTTGAAAAATGTTAAGTGTTATATAAACTTTTAAGTATTATAAATAAAACTATTAAGGGTTATAATTTATGATATATTCAGTTATAATTACCATTTTTCCTTCTTCACTATTCTATGCATCTTTTTATATTTTTTCCCCAAATGTTTGTTCCTTAGGGCATTACACTAGAAGAGTTTGACAAATTGTCTTTCAATATGATTTTAATGAGCCCTCCCTGTCAACCATTCACCAGGTATGTATAATAAATATTTCTTTGTTGAGGAAGAGTACTTTCCAGGAATTCATTAAATCAAATTATACCATAGTTTCAAGCGTGGACACTTTGAAGACTATTAGCTGCATTTTTATAATTTTGACAATCTTCATAAATAATTCCTCTTATCTACTCATATTTATAATTCAGCATTGATCATAAAGGACATAGCAATTACTACCAAATGAGCAAAGCAGTTTCGTCAATAGAAGATATGCAGAGACTGTCTGGGACCTCTTTTATATTGACCTAAGATATTTACAGTATTTATTTATGACCTAAATTACCTTAAATTAATTAAACTTATGAGTATTCAGGAATATCTTTTTAACTGGTTAATAAAGTAAATGTCATATTCAATTTTAAATTAATGTTAAATTTAAAAGCTAATTAAGAATGTGTTTATGAAATTTATGTTTCTCAGAATATATATATATTGAGTAATTCTGACTTTTTATAGCTGTATTGTAATTCATTTTTTTATTATACAGTATTTATTTGGCTGTGTATTTCAGGGAATTATATCTTAGATGAAATCTTGATTAATTCATCCTCATTTAGATATTTTTAGTTATCTTAAATAATAGTAACAAGCCTCTGTCTTACAATGGAGTATGCTATTTAACAAGCCTATGGGATAGGTGTTTATATTATCATCATTTTATAGGTGAGAATATGAGGCATAGAAAGATTAAGTAACTTTCTTTAAGGCCATACACTTAGAAAATGTTAGAGCCAGGATTTGTCAATTATTTTATAATTCCTATTTAAATACTTAAGATGATTTTAAATGGGATGTCACATGTAATAAATATTCTGATTTAAATGAATATTCTCATGCTTAATTTCCATCTAAGTTTTGCTTTATTTAAACAACTCTATAGGAAATTAATTCCCCAAGGATTTATTGTGTCCTTATGAGCCAGGCATTGCTTTTGATGCTGTAGTTCCCATCCTCAAGGAGCTTATAGTCTAAGGGAAATGATTGACAAATAATTATCCTATCATATGATACAAACTATGTGATAAATGAATTCTAGAAGTGCTGTGAGAACACAGAGGGGAAAATGGCTTGCTGCATGGTAGGAGACAGGAATTCTCTGAGAGGCAATATCTGAACTGTGTCTGAAAGCAGATTGGGAATTTATCAGAAAAGGCAGAGGGCATTCCATGTAAAGATGCCTCCAAGCATATGCAAGCATATGGCCTGTTGAACTGCAGTGAGTAGGAGGCACAGAACAGAATGCAGCCCAGCACTGCGCAGCCTCATGTATTACTGCACAGGGCCTCCGGTGTCTTCCCTACTACCAGCAGCCCAACTCCAGCTGCTGATGGCAGCAGTAACTGATTCTGTAATACTGTCATAATTGCAACCCTGAGAGGAAAGGGACACAAGATTTTTGAGGTATCTATTCGAGTCTACTCTTAAGTCTCCATCTGAGCCTCAGATCCACAGATGATTCTGGCCCTGCTGGAAGGTATGAGGGAACTGACAAGTGATATCAAGTCACTCATCTAAGGCAATGGAGCTAGTAAATAAATAACCAGGTCTTAAACCCTTGCCCTCTGTTTCTACTACCCAGGCCCAATCCAATTTTCCTTTTCTGCTTGATTCTTGATCACATTGAAAATCAGGCATTCAGGTTAAGTCTCTACTGTTTACATTGGACGAAATTGGCTTTGTCTTACCTAACTATGGTCCATGTAGATGGTGGTTAGTTATCAATTCCATGACTCTATGTTGCCACCCTACCAAGCAGCTCATTCATCTGACCTTTGTTGTCTCATCTGGGACAGAGCAAAAGGTGTAATCAGCCAGTTATGTGTGTGTTTCCTAAACAAAGTGATTTTAAGAGGGTAATTGAGGTTATTCTCTATTGACTATTTGTTCTTCTCGGTTCTTTGCCTCATGTAAGTCATTTGGCGTATTGTTTTATAATAAATATATTTATTAGGCAAGGGTTTTTTTTTCTTTTTAATTAAGTGAATAAATGAATTTTGTTCTCTATAACAACAAAGGTAATATTTTTTGTGAAGACCAACTACTTTTAGTTCTCTCAGTTTTGATGTTTTAAAAGTGATTTGGTATCTTTCTATAAGTAAGATTCATGGTGAATTTTATTTGTACCTTCTTTATCCTTTAGAATTGGCCTACAAGGTGATGTGACTGATCCAAGGACAAATAGCCTCTTATATATTCTAAATATTCTCCCAAGGTAAAAACTTAGATTTTTGTACATATTTACCTTAAATTTAAACCTTTGGATTTGGAAGAATGTGATATTTGTCATTTTATAGAGATTAGCAGTTTATACATGCAGCCTTCAGATACTGTGCATGTCTTTTATCTTCTTCTGCCCTGATAGAATAACTGCAAATGTTTGCCAATTCCATGGTTGCCCCTACAGTGAGTGACAGGGAATTACAGTCTAATAGCTAAATTCTATTGCCTCTCTCAAAATTAATGCAAATGATGCTAATGTTAGTGAATGTTGCTGCCCAAGGCCTGCAAACTGTGCTAACTCTAGAAGCTGCCATTCTATGTAAATGGCAGCCCTGAACCCATGTTTTCTGATAAAGTTCAGTGGAAATGAACATTTCAAATGTTAATTTCATTAGCTATGCCATTTTTATGGGGAAAATGAATAAAATGTAAGTTGTCTCTATCCTCTATAAAATCCTTTTATAAAAAGGGAGGATTTAGAAAATTACTTAATCTCATAGTTCCCACAAGTATTTTCTTTACTTCTTACTTCTTAGCAATGACATGTTTAGAATTCCATTTGTTTTTGTTTTTGTTTTAGATTACAGAAACTACCAAAATATGTTCTTTTAGAAAATGTCAAAGGTTTTGAAGTATCTTCGACAAGGTAAAAATGTATCTGCATTGTGTCCATTTTAAACTTGGTATAGTGTAGAAACCGTTGTGCAATAAAGATCTTAAATCCATACAGTCTGACATTTTATATATATGTTTTATTCATTAATATTGATTTTGACTAAATAATAATACAAAGTTTCACAAACTTAGGTTCACCTGATTCTCCCATTTTGATATGTCTGAATTTTTGCAGAATGAGCATTCATTTTAAACAAAATGGTATTTCTCAATTTTAGTTGCTTATATTGTTGCCTGTTTCTTTAGAAGTAGGAATGTTCTCAGTAAGAAATGTTTGTGTTGATAGGCATTTTCTGTCGTGCAGTTTGGAGAAGTGTTCCCTGGGTCAGATCCCTTTCAGATGGTAACCCCAGCCAGAAAATATCCCTGTCCTTGAACCTGCTGCTATCTTATCAGGGCTCCCCCATCTGACTTGCTACAGACAGAGTTCCATTCCAATAGCAACTTATCATCAGCAAACTAGTGATTCTAACTCTGGATAGAATATAGCTCCAGTTGGGATAAATTATCTGGCAGCTTTGTTTATAATAGAAATCATTTCTATATTTTTTTTTAGAAATGTAATTTCTCAAGTACTAGACTTAATAATTAAGACCTAGGATCATTCACTTCCTAAACAACTTTGGTGGAGATATAGTTTTCACATAAAATGAAGTTTTATGTATAATTTTTTATATAAGAACCCCATTTCCAACTATAGGGTTAACATTTTTTCTTTTTTCTTTTCAGAGACTTATTAATACAAACGTTAGAAAATTGTGGTTTTCAGTACCAAGAATTTCTATTATCTCCAACCTCTGTAGGTATCACAATGATCAACTTTCCCATAAATCTTCCTAAAGGGAATTTGACTCAATAAAAAGAATAGATCTGTTTTGAATAATATTATACTTAAATCTTGAAATTAGCTCAGGCATAGGTCTTTCTAAAGAATGTGGTACAGGCATATAGATTTATTTATATGTATTTTATGGAAAATATTATATAGCTTGTAGCTTATAGAGAATATAAATTTCTTTTCACACAGAAAATAAAGTATATATATATATATATATCCTTTATTTGTATATATCCTTTATATATATAAAAATGGATATATATATATATATATATATATATATATATATATATATATATATAAATAAAGGATAGTGTGTTTTGAAAATCTGTGGTATTTGGCTGCTTTCCAAATCTGGTGTGCTGTAGTTTGGTAATGCTTCAAAATAATCCAAAATAGAAAACAAAATGAACATATGATAGTTTTCTGGTTAGATTTTTAGAACTATTAAAAATGCAAACACTGTGAAATCTTGCCATTTGCAATGACATGGATGGAACTAGAGGGTATAATGCTAAGCAAAATAGGTCAGAGAAAGATAAGTATTGTATGATTTCACTCATATGTGGAATTTAAGAATCAAAACATAAGCAAAGGGGGAAAAAAAAGAGACAAACCAAGAAACAGACTCTTAACTATAGAGAACAAATGGATTGTTGGGGGCAAGGAGGGCTGTAGGGTAAGGGTTAGTGGGGGATGGGTTAAATAGGGGATGGGGATTAAGAAGTGCACTTGTGATGAGCACCAGATGTTGTATGGAAGTGCTGAATCTCTATGTTGTACACCTGAAACTAATATAATACTGTATGTTAGCTGTACTGGAATTAAAATAAAATAAAATGCAAACTTTGCTTCTATTTCATGAATATGAAATTAAAGTAAGCAGTTATGATAAGATATTTGATCTTTTATATTACAAGTATCACTATTTTTTCTTTTATTATTGTGTTAGCCTTTTTTATCTTTAGCCTATTATATAATTATTTGCCTTGAAATTAAAAGAAAACTCGTTTCGAAAATTAGGTGTACGTGTACTATGAAAATTGGCATTATGTCTGATCTCATTAAGTTTATTTCATATTTATTGCCTTCTAACTTTTAAAATTTAGTGTGTCCTCCTTTTTTAATAAGATGAGGCAATAAATAGCCAAGAATAGCTATATTTGAATTTTATTTTTTATGGTTATTATTAATAATGAATGTGAGAATGTCTATATAATTTCTTATCTGGGAAATACAAAATGAAAATGACTCAAAGACTCATCAGATTCAATCTCTGTTCATTCGAATAAAGATACAAAGCACCAATTTAAAAGGTTAAGAATTTGCTACAAAAATTAGTCCTCTACATTTTAATAACAGAATTCTTTCTAGCAGAAACTAAACGCAAACCTATATGAGTTTTTTTTGTCAGGTGTGACAGTTGATACAGATCTCTCTAATTCCCTGTCATAACCAATTGCTGTTTTCTCCAGTTTGGCATTCCAAATTCAAGGCTACGGTATTTCCTTATTGCAAAGCTTCAGTCAGAACCATTACCTTTTCAAGCCCCTGGTCAGGTATTGTTGTTATTGTTAATATTACTATTATTATTATTATTAATCTATTATAAGTATATCTTAGTCTGTTAATTTATTTCAAGAACTACTTTGTGGAAGCTTATATATGTCTTACTGAATCTGTAATATAGACCACAACCTAGGTCTGTTTTCTAGGGCTTTTTCCTCTCCTGATGCTGTTTTTATTGTTTTAAACAAGACAAAAATAAAAACTTTTCTTTCAGTGTTTGAAAAAATATATGTTAAAAGTTAAAAAAAAAAAAAACTATCGTCAATGCTGTAATCCTCTTTTTCCCCTATTACTTCCCTTTTGACTATTGACTGTGTCATTTTCCCTCTGATAGAAGCCATTGATTATTTGTGTTAAAATTCAGTTATACTATCTTAACAATGGCTTAACAGTATTTTAACACATTGGTTGCATTTTCTTTGAAGTCAGTGCTATTTAGCCTTAGTTGATTAAAACATAGTGATTAGTACAAGCTAGAATAAAATGCTCAATTGCTATGGATAGGATCTCTAATAATGCAAGCAGCTGTGCATGTTTCCATCAAAATTGCTGTGGAAATCGGAATTTCGATGGTTCAGTGCAGTTCTCCTTAACAATCACAGGTAAGGGCAGCCCCGGTGGCATGGCACAGCGGTTTAGCGCCTTCTGCAGCCCAGGGTGTGATCCTGGACACCTGGGATTGAGTCCCACGTTGGGCTCCCTGCATGGAGCCTGCTTCTCCCTCTGCCTGTGTCTGTCTCTCTCTCTCTCTCTCTCTGTCTCTCTCTCTCTCCCCCCTATCTCTCTCTCTGTGTGTGTCTCTCATGAATAAATAAATAAAATCTTAAAAAAAAAAAAAGAAAAAACAATCACAGGTAAGAACTCGAAAGTTATGTCCTCCTAACAGGGGATCAGTAGTGTCATTTGGGTCCCCTACCATATCATACCAATACATCTCCCTTTCCATGGTCGTCAATTCCAAAAACAATATATAAACTATATTAACAAAGACATCAGCATTAAAAATCCCTGGAACTATTTTTCTTTTACAAACTAGGACATTCATTATGCATGGTTACATGTTTTGCAGGAACAGGGTTTTCCTATGGGACTCATGAGTACAAATAACCTTTTAGGGGAAAAAGCTTTCCTTTTTTTAATTACTAGTTTTCCTTTAGACCATGCATATGTTCCAGTTTTTCTTTTTTAATGAAGGGATATGGCAAACTTTGATCCAATACACATTTTCTGGAAATGTTAATGTTTCTTTCTTTCTTTCTTTCTTTCTTTCTTTCTTTCTTTCTTTCTTTCTTTCTTTCTTTCTTTCTTTCTTTTTGTTCTTTCTTTCTTTCTTTTTTTTGAATGCTGTGCCTTTTAATCCCATGATTTATTCATCTCATAACTACTGTGGCTTTCTAAACCTCTTTTTAAAATATGATACTAAATTCAACATACTTCCTATTGCTTTGTTGAATGTTTTTATTTATAAATATGATAAGCAGTAATTCCATGAAATAAATTAGTTGTAGCCTGATGACACTATAGCTATATGATGACAATTTATAATAACTTGTATAAATACAAGTAAATCACAATATCTTTGTTTTTAATGACAACTCTCTAAAGGCTAAAGATATTTTTTTGTATAACATAAATTAAACGTTATTAATTTTTCTCTTATTTTTAGTAAAGCTTTTAATGGACTGTGTATTTTCCCTTAATGCCAGGTGCTGATGGAGTTCCCTAAAACTGAATCTGAAAATCCAGAAAAAAATACAATAGATGCAGAAAATAAAATTGAAAGAAAGAAAATTGAACCAAATGTTTGCTTTGATAAGGGCAGACAGTGTTCTGGAAAAGAGACCATTCTTTTTAAGCTCGAAACTATACAAGAACTTGACCGGAAACATCACCAAGACAGTGATCTCTCTGTGCAAATGCTAAAAGATTTTCTTGAAGATGATGTTGACATGAATCAGTATTTTTTACCACCAAAGTCATTGCTGCGATACGCTCTTTTGCTAGACATTGTTAAGCCCACTTGCCGAAGGTCCACATGCTTTACCAAAGGGTAGGTTTAAAAAGACTCTTAAAATGGTATATTTAAGATAGCCAGGTTTTTATGGCTATTATTTCTTTTAGAACTTCTCAAAACAAGAAGCATTTTACAAAATGTTTCTGCTAGAATGATTTTTTTTTCCCCCTTAATTGCTTGCTTTCGTGTTCCAATAGAATGCACAACTGAAAATTCCTTCTGGCAGAACATTATGTGCACATCCCACAAAAGTGCTCATAAAACACAATGCCGTTTGTTTGGTGACCTTCATAAGAGCTTAATTACCCATGGTGGAAACATGGTTTGTGTAGATACTGAATTTGCTACTTTTTAGCACCTTTCTTTTTATGGCACTTCAGACCTCAAAAATTTATGTCCACTCTCATGATCAATATATAAGAAGAAATTAAGTTTTAATATGAAGAAATAAAATTAAATCATCTGGTGCACGTTAAAGCAAATTTAAGTTTTACTCAATTTTTAAAAATAAATAATGTGGTTTTATGGTTCAAAAATCAAAGGTACAAAGATTGTGAGACTCCTTTTTCTGTTTCTCTCTTGCTCATCCAGTTTTCCTGCTTACATACAACCAGACATTTCAATTTACTCTCTAATCTTCCAAAGGTATTATGTGTGAGGGTTTATTTAAATATATATGTTTCAAATATATATATATATATATATATATGTTTCACCTCCTTTTTTAGGTAAGTGGTAATATACTGTATCTGTTATTATGTACTTTTTTCATTATATAATATCAACTGAATGTTACTATATATGAGTACATAAAGAACTTTATCATTCTCATAGTATATCATAATGACTTTTATTGGTTACCTTTGGGTTATTTTTTGAAAGTTAATATTTTTTTATTAATTTTTTAAACCTACAAAGAAGGGGAAAATCAGGCCTTTCCAGAAAATTTTGTAAAAGATCTCGATCTCTTCTTTGTTAATGCCACTCAACCTCACTTGATGAGTAACTGTATGATTTGAATCTTCAGGCTTTATTTTCACCCACTAGTTAGCTTTAGCTTTCATGCATACTATGTCCCACCTCAAACATACCAGATTTACTCTGATTTTATCATGTTTTGCCCTTGTACTTCCAGGGCAACTGATTTATTGCCTTCCATTGCCTTAAAAGACTTTACTCAGCTGTTGTCTGTTTCAAGTCTGATAAGGCAAGACTTATCAGTTTGGTAATAAAACACAACCTTGAAATTCTTTTGTAATTATAAAGATGGTATAAGGGAAGCCTTTCTATAAAAGTCTATTTTAGTGTAGATTATATCTATATATCTATATATCTATATCTGTACATATACACATACACCATACACACATATGCGAAAACAGAGGTGATGGTTCAGGAGTTAAGAAATAGTAGCAATTTATTTTCACCTATATAATGTTTGGCTTAATGTGGCAGGGATGCCAATATTGAAGAGCATTTGGATATAAATCATACAATTTGGATATAAATTTGGATATAAAGCATACAAATGCATGCTTTCTAGTGATGAACATTAAGATACTGACAATACAAAGAAATGATAATAATGTATGATTCCAGGTGGTTTTTACACAACTCAAAACTCTATGCCAGGTTTAAATAGAATGATCTTATGTCTTTCGCCCAGTGATTTTTCACTTATTTGTGTGTTTCAGACTATTTCAGAAGGATGTAACTATGTAGATTGGTTAATGCATTTAAGAAATATTTAAGAAATTTCACATTAACAAATACATTAGATGCTGCATAATACACATGTTAATCTTACAGTTATGGAAGCTACGTAGAAGGGACAGGATCTGTGTTACAGACTACAGAGGATGTGCAGGTATTGTATATTGTTTTAGAACTAAAATATTTGAAAATTATTTTAAATAAACCTATTTAATACTTAGAATTTGAGAATATTAAAATAATTGTATATGTTAAATTGGGAATGAATATACACATTTTTTTATTGTTGCTAGATGAATTTATATACAAAGAATATTTCACATTTCACTTTCTCTTTTCTTATTCTTATCTTTGCTATTCTTTTTATTTCATAAGGAGTAAATTGAAATTTATAGGATACAATATCTAATGTTCTCTAAATGATGTTCTAAAATGATCTAATGTTCTAAAATGATGCACAAATATCTTAATATTCCTTTGGATCACACACTATAAAACTATCTTTTAGGGAAAGAAAGCTACAGCTTAGCAAGACTCTTTATTAATACTTCATTTGTAAACTCTTCAGGGCATCATAGTTGAAAAAAGCTTGATATGCTGTAAAAATATTTTATACTTTTGTATCATTTTGAAGTCAAATCACATTATTTTCTATTATGCTGAATTAAATTCTTACCATTAGTAAAATTTACCCATGGTAAAAATGCTATTAGAGGCAAATGAATGGATTTAAGAATTTTTAGTTACCAGATGTATTTTATCATTTTAAGAAAATAATTTGATGAAATTGATCATAAATAGTAAATATTTTAATGATATATCTGTTAGCATTATGAAGTTGATTTCATTGGTTGATCAGGTTTCTTTTTTATCTCTTACTGTATTTCTTTATGTCGTGTTGCCATTGTTCATTTGTTATGATTTAATATTTGAGGAATCAGAAATGACAAGTAAATAGGAAGTTTCCTGACTTGTTCAACATCAAGTTCTTTGTTTTCAGACATTTCAGTTTTGAAGTTTATATTGCCCATGATGGGCCAATTACAGAATCCATTGGAAGAGACATTTTGCCCTGTGCATTTTGCTACTGGCTATTACAGCACACTGTATGTTCATCCTTTTTAAAGTGTCTCACAAGAGATGATCTTATCTTAACAAATCTACTGGCACTCTACTTTATCAATTATCTTGACTGTTTTCTTACAGATTGAGGATATCTACAAATCCCTTACCAATTTGTCTCAAGAGGAAAAGATAACAAAATTGTTAATGCTTAAACTTCGATATTTCACTCCTAAAGAAATAGCAAATCTCCTTGGATTTCCTTCAGAGTTCGGTATGTGGGATACACACAGACCCCAGTTTTTGTGTATTAAATGTCCCAGAGTTCAAAAGAGACTCAACAGGTGTATTTTATGAATACACCCTTGCCCAGAGAGATGGATGTAAGGAATCTTCCTGTCCTAGTCAGACCATTTTTGACATTTTCCTTCCCTCTTCCTGCTTCTTGTTCCTAACCTGACTGAGTCCATTTCCTTCAGCCTCCACACCCTCTCCTTTTATTCCACTAATGGTCTCACGTGGTTTTCAGGGAAGAAGGACCAAATCCACAGATCTTCCCCTCTCCCCACCAATGGTAGTTAATAGCATGTCTTTCTCCAGCTTTATTTTCTTGATTCCAGAAGTCCTGTTGTAATAACCCCACACTAGATCTTGTGAAAGAATACCTAGAAATGACCTCTTTATGAGGAAATTAAAAAGTGGTTGAGGAATTAATTTATTTTTTTGGTGGAGAGTGTATTTGCATTTACCCTCTTCAAAGACACATACTGATCAGTTACCCATCTTTTGTCCTCCCTGTAAGTGAAGAAAAGAGAAGGTGGAGAGGTGGTCTGGGAAAGTGTTTTCCTAGCAGAAAGAAAGGTGACTCAGGAGCACAGATGCCAGAATGGACAAGAGATTATGGTGTCTGAAGCAGGGAATCTCAAGAACAAAAATGAATATATAGTTGCAGAGTACGAAGGACTAAGTTCTAACCTCCTTTGTGGTCCAGGCAATCTAGGAATTGTTGGTGTTAAGAGATTGGACATGTTGCCCTTGCCTTGTAAAGCGCCCTGCCCCATCCCTGACCCCTCCTTCCTGGTGCCTGTGCTTTCTGTGGTAGTGATGCCATCAGCTTCTTAGGCTGTCGGGAGTGTGTTGCCAGGACCTGGCTCCTGGTGACTGGGAGGGTGAGGGGAAAGACCTCCCTAATATGCTTCCAGGTCTACATAAAGAGGACACATGTGTTTGATAACACTGGGGGATTGATTGCAGAAAAGCCAAAGTCTTCTAAATCCAGTATTGTGATATTAATTCAGTACTCTTTTTGAAGCATATAATGAGTTAAATAGATCACGTTTTAAATTCTAAATAATGGACTTACAGATGAGGTTTTGGAACACACCCTTCTATACCTTACGAATAAAATATATAATTTGACTGTCCTCTTGGTAATTGGTTCTCTGAGTGTAGTCACAGCAACCAGGTTTATTTTGTAACTCTCTGCCTTTTTCTTGGTGATCTCATTCAGTCTCAAATATCCTGGGGAGTGTTATTTAAAAAAAAAACACAAACTTTCCTTGTCTTAGTCTATGTCACAAAATGAGTGAGAACATCATAAAACAAATAAAGAGCTAAAAATTAGACTCAGGAATTTAGTTCCCAGTCTGCCTTTTTGTTTACTTTTTTTTTTCTTTTTTAGGATGAGCAATCAAAGGTATTTTCCATAGCACTACAGAGAAAAGAGATTTACTATCTAATAACTAATTCCTACGTTTTGAGTGCATGCTTCTTTAAACAGTAGAGTCAGTGCAGAAATACAGACGGGTAGCATGGACCCCAGAGTCACACTGAGGAAGTTTGAATCCTAACAGCACCTTAACCCTCTGCTTTTGTTTACCCCTCTGTAGAATGGGGGTAATCCCAGCATCAATTTCACAGGGTCATTGTGACCATTAAGTGAATTATAATATGTAAAGTGTTTGCCCACCATCTGACATACAATATAAAATTTAAATGTCAGCTTTTATTTTTAAAATATTTGACATTAATTTGCTTTTTTAGCCTTCATAAATATTTTTTCTGATCATTTAAAAATTTCACATGGGTAAATTAGGATTTTTCACAGCTTTCTGAAAATATATGTATAATACATACAAGAAAGCCTTTTTAATTGCTTAAGTTTCTTTTAAAGTATGTGATATATTTGTATAATCAGGCTTGACTAATGTCACCCCTGAGCAGCACTGTGACAGAACTGTCCTTCATGTGTGCTTCCAAAATTATTGACTCTGAATCTGAAATGGGCATTGTTTGAGCTGCTTGTGCACTGTCAATGATGGATTTGTATCGATCCTTTCATACATTTTGTGCTGGTTCTTTTTGTGGCTAGTGGCGTGCATTTGTGAGAGCGAGCTTTGGAAGAGGCCACTAACCTATACTTACGGAATGAAAGCTGTTATCTTGACCTTGTTAATGCTATGTTTCTTTGTTTTTGAAGATTGTTATTATTTTTAATGTACCCAACTTTTTAAAAGTCACCTTTTAATTTAAAAAAGTTATATCTTTATATAAAATACACAAGCACTCACACGTATATAATTTTTACAAATCTGACTTTTTGCTTTCAAACCTTTCTTACTCTTTGATGTAATCTTAATATTACAAAAGGTCATCCCTGGAATATTCTAAAAGTCTGTGATATATTTGTATCTCTAGCTAATTTGAATGAAACAATATTTTAGATGACTAATGTACTTGCCTAAGACATATTATCTTTATAATAGCAATTTTATGGTCTTGCTCAATTGCAAATATAATTTTATTATGTAATCATTTATTTTATTACAGTAAGTATAATGTCAAGTGTTGATGAAGCAACTTTATCATAACCAACTCTTCCTTCTGGTCCTCACAAAACATACCATTTGCTTTTCTTAATACTTTTTAATTATTTCCTTCATTTTGTTGTATAAATTGCTTTTCCTTTAATTGCTATGCCAGAGGATACTAAATATGAAAATTGTAACTAACATTATAGTGTATACTTCATGGACAGTCTTTTATGTTGCTATTTGCAAGGCTTTGTTCTAGCAAATTTTGTATCTGTAGGCCAAATTTTGTTTGAAAAAGAATATAGCAAATGGAAGTGCAATATGAGAAAGTGTATTTGTGGAAACAGAATACAAAAAAAAAAAAAAACAGCTTGAGGGACTTGTATCCAGAATATATAAAGAACTCTCACAACTCAATAATAAAAAGAAAAATAATTCAACTAAAAATGGGCAAAGGATTTGAATAGATGTTTTCCAAAGAAAATAGACAAATGGCCAGTAAGCACATGAATAGATATCTGCATCATTAATTATTAGGAAAATGTAATCAAATAAGGTACTGTTTCACAAAAATGACAGTAACAGTATTGACAAAGATTTTTGAGAAATCAGATCCCTTATCCATTGCTGGTGGTGCAGCTACTTTGAAGAACAGTTCAGGAGTTCCTCAAATGTTAGATGTGGAATTACTTTATGAGTCAGCATTTTCACCCCCAGGAATATATCCAAGAGAGCTGAAAACACATGTCCACAAAAAAATGTATACATAATGTTTATAACAGCATTATTCATAATCAAAAAGTAGAAACAATCCAATGTCTATTGGTAGATAACTGGATAAATAAAATACGATCTATCCATGCCATCGAATAGTGTTTAAAGAGGAGGTAGTGTTGGTACATCATGTTATAATGAATGAATGAATCTTGAAAAATGCTTAGTGAAAGAAGCCAGAAACAAGACAACATATGGTTCCATTGATATGGAATGTCCAGAATAGGCAAATACATAGATACAGAAACTAGATTAGTAGTTGAAGGACAGGGAGGGGCAATGGGGAGATGATTGCTAATGGGTGCCAGCTTTCTTTCTTTTTTTTTTTTTTAAAGATTTTATTTCTAAGTAATCTGTACATCCAATGTGGGTCTCAAACTCATGATCCCGAGTTCAAGAGTCACATGCTTCACCACCTCAGCCAGCCCAGCATCCCTCTTTATCTTTTAAGTGAGACATAATTGACATATAATATTGTTACAGTTTTAGGTGTGCACCATGATGATTTGATATGTACATACATTGAGAGATGATCACCACAAAAAGTCTAGTGAACATCTATCATCGTATACATAGTTCTAAAAAATGAGGATTTATTGTAACTTTTCAAATACACAATAGAGTATTATTAACTATAGTCCCAGGCTGTGCATTACTCAGGACTTATTTATTTTATAGCTGGAAATTTGTGCCTTCCAACCTCTTTAACCCATTTTGCCACTCCACCCAACCACCAGTTTGTTGTCGTATCTGTGAGTGTGATTTTTTTTTTGTATGTCTTTCCTTGCTTTGTTTCTTAGATTCTACATATAAGTGAGATCACAGAGTATTTGCTTTTTCCTCTGTCCATCTGTATTGCAAATGGCAAGATTTCATTCTTTCCGTTATGACTGCATAGTATTCCTCTGTGTGTGTATGTGTTTGTGTGTGTACCTAGGTTGTTTCCATATCTTGGCTATTGTAAATACTGCAATGAACATGAGGTGCATATATCTTTTCAAATCAGTGTTTTCGTTTTTATTCCATAAATACCCAGAAGTGAAATTGCTGGATCATATGATAATTTTATTTTTAATTTGTTGGGGAATCTTCATACTGTTTTCCATAGTGGCTACGCCAGTATACATTCCCTCAGTATATTTTGCATATAAACCCCTTATCAGATGTATGATTTACAAATATTTTTCTCCCGTTCTGTAGAGTGCCTTTTCATTTTGTTGATGATTTTCTTTGCTTGGTTGTGCAAAAGCTTTTTAGTTTGATGTAGTCTCATTTGTTAATTTTTACTTTTTTTTTTTTTTTGCCTTTGCTTTTGGATTCAGATCCAAAAATCTGTTGCCAAGACTGACTCTTACTTTATTGACTGTTTTCTTTTTTTTTCTTTTTTTTTTTTTTATATTGACTGTTTTCTTTTAGGTATTGATGGTTTCAGGTCTTACATTCTAGTCTTTAATCTATTTTGAGTTACTATTTGTGTGCCAGAGCATGATGCTTCCAGCTTGTTCTTTCCGAAGATTGCTTTGGCTATTTAGGGTCCTTTGTGGTTCCTTTTGAATTCTAGGATTGTGTATTCTACACAAATGCCATTGAAATTTTGATAGGAATTGCCTTGAATATGTAGACTGCTTTAGATAGTGGACATTTTACTAATAATTCTTCTAATCCATTAGCATGGACTATCTTTCCATTTGTATCTTTCATTTCTTTCATCAGTGTCCCCCAATTTTTAGTGTATGGATCTTTTACCTCCTTGGTTAAATTTATTCCTAGGCATTTTATTCTTTTTGTTGGAATTGTAAATGGGATTGTTTTCTTAATTTCTCTTTCTGATAGTTTGTTGTCAGTGTATAGAAGCACAACACCTCTTTGTATGTTAATTTGTATTCTGAAACGTCACTGTATTCATTAGTTCTAACAGGTTTTTTTTTGGTGGAGTCTTTGGGGGTTTTGTATATATAATATGTCATCAGCAAATTGTGACAGTTTTGCTTTGTCCTTTCCAATTTGGATGCCTGTTACCTCATTTTCTTTTGCCTAATTGCTCTGGGTAAGACTTCTAATACCATATTGAATAAAAGGGGCCAGAGTGGGCATCCTTGTCTTGTTTCTGATCTTATGGGAAAATTTTTAGCTTTCTACTTTTGAGCACAATGTTAGCTGTGGGCCAGCCTTCTTTTTGAGGTAATAAAAATGTTCTGGAATTAAATAGTGGAGATGATGCAAAACTCTGTTCTAAAAGCCACTGAATTATACATTTTAAAGGGTTAATTTTATCTCCATAAAGCTGTTATTAAGGAAAAGAACTGTGAAATAATGGTAGCCACCACTTTTCCTAAAGTGCTTTAAAATACAGATTTCGATGGATTTTGTGGATGTTATGGGTGTACTCATGTATACAACTGAGCATAATATGTAATGTGATATGATAATATCACATTGTGTAAGCAATGTAATCTTACATTTTTGGCTTCAAATTCTCATTTGTTAATTGAATTTCGTGTCAATCTTAGGGACTTACTTATGTGAATGACCACTATGTTCTTACTAAAGGTTACATCTTTTATCTCTGGAAGTTAATATTATAAATGATTGTATTATAAATTAATATCTCTCTTTTCTAGGATTTCCTGAGAAGATAACAGTGAAGCAGCGTTATCGGCTACTTGGAAATAGTCTCAATGTGCATGTAGTAGCTAAACTAATCAAAATCCTCTATGAATAATTTAAAAATAACTCTGAAAGATGGTCGCATTATTTCTTCATATCCAGATGGTAATTCTGAAATTCTATTTTGAATTGATTTTGGTGAAATTCAGCTAAACTCTCTTTATCTCTCTTTAAAAAGAAATTTGGATTTATCATAAAAATGCCAATTTTTTCCCTAAATTTGTATTACTGTATTGTGTAAAACAGAAATTATTACGTTTTTGGAGAATGTATTTTCATATGAAATTGCTAAATATACATGTAAAATATTCTCTTTTACTATTATGATATTAGCAAATTTAGAACTATGGAGATTGAATGTCTATGTGAGTATTTTATGAAGTGTTGTGACAGGCGTAGTATAGTGAACCTAAGAAATTATATTTTTGTATGTTAATTAAATAAATTGCTTTATGAATTCTATCATTTTATTTATTTGTTAGGTGATTAGTTCTTCATGCTAATATGATGATTCTAATTCTGGCCTGTTTCAAACATTGAATGTTTTACTTAATTCTAATCTTTAAACATTTCTTAATTTTATCAAAACAAATGCATATAATATTTTAAAACAAATACTCATAATTCGATGTTATACAACAGTCAGAAGAAAATGTCAGAAAAATAATCCTACCTTCTGATTACTTCTCCACTGGAAGCTACAGAAAATGGAGGTAAACATTATCTAATTTTATCTTTAATTCTACCTCCATCTGAACCCTGAAACTTCATTGTCCTTTCTTCATTTGTAAATACTTTCCTTTAGTTTACTATCATCAGATCTTGCCTTTGTCTTCCTTCTCTGCTTCTTGTAAGTTAAATTTTCCATCAAGTTCTAAGGAATGTAGCTTGGCAGATTTTAGGGAGGAAACTGCCCTCTGACCCCAATTCATGTGACTATTCTGTGAATTAGCTTTTTAAAATTTTTCTTTTTCAGTAGACTTCTTGGAATTAGGGTTTCTAATCAAACTGTTTTGTATAATAAATCCTGTCATTTTTATTTCAGTGACAAAAACAAGTAACAAAAAGAAGAAAAATTAAAAGAAATAAGACCAGAAATATCACAAGATTAAAATGATATTTTTATCTTTAAAGGATAATCATTTTGATGTGTAGAAATTAGAACCCTGTGCATTGCTGGTAGAAATGTAAAATGGTGCAGCCACTGCAGAAGATAGATGATGATTCCTTTAAAAAAATTAAACATACAGTTATCATATGACCCAGCAATTCCACTTCTGGGTATTTACCCAAAAGGATTGAAAGTAAGGACTTGACCAGGTATTTGTATATTAATGTTCACAGTAGCATTATTCGCAATAGCCAAAATGTGGAAGCAATCAAAGTGTCCATCAGTGGATGAATGGATAAACAAAATGTGGTGTATACATACAGTGGATTATTATTCACCCATTGAAAGAAAGAAATTCTGACATATGCAATAACATGGATGATCTCTGGGGATATTATAGTTGGTGAAATAAGCCAGACACAGAAGGGCAAATTTTCTATAATTCCACTTATATGGAGTACATGAAAGAATCAGGTTCATAGAGATAGAATGTAGACTAGACATTACCAGGGCTTGGGGGCTGGGAGTTCATGTTTAATGGGTGCAGAGCTTCTGTTTGGGGTGGTGAAAAAGTTTTGGACATAGATGGTGGTGATAGTTGCATAGCAGTGTAAATGTACTTAATACTACTGAACTGTATACATAACAATCCTTAAAATGGCAAGTTTTATGTTATATACATTTTGCCACAATTTAACAAAAATACCCTAATCATTCCCCACCACCATTTTTCAGAAAAACTCATAGATAAATATGGATATAGGGAAGTTGTAGGCCAATGCATATACATATCAATTATCACACCTACATTTTGTGTATAGTATTTAAAGACAAACCTTAGCACAAGTCTCATAAATTTTAGTACACAACAATCTGAAATTACTTTGTCACACTTTCATTAGGTTCTCTTCACTGCTGAAAGAATCTTACTAATAAAAAGGTACAGAGTTTTACTATGATTAAGCTATAATTATAGTGTCCTATGCCCCATTGAGCAATGTTAGACAAAATAAGTGTTGAGTTCCAGTGCACCAACTATAAACCCATGAAAGCTCTGTAGAGTGTTTTCTTCCTAATTATAAAACAGAATATTACTTTGTGAATTTTTTTAAATTATTGAAGTATATTCAATATAGTGATTCTTGCCCTTGAAAATAAAAAAGTAGCAAGCATAAAACACCTTAATGAAGACATATTTACAGTGTCATTTATTTAGCATATACATATATGCAAAATTAATCTTAAAAATGTTATTTTAATGAATGTCTGCTCTATGTTTTTGGTAATAAATATGCCTAACATTTGTTTTACAAATCCTGATATTTGGACTTACTGTTAATTTATGCAGTATTTTGGAAACTACAGACTCTTCTTCTAAAAAGAACTATATGTAATGAAATCTTTACCATTTCTAACAGTAAACTGATTTTTAAAAAAGATTTTATTTATTTATTCGAGAGAGACAGAGAGTGAGCAAGAGTGGGCACAAGCAAGGTGAGGGGCAGAGGGAAAAGCAGACTCCCCACTGAGCAGGGAGCCCTCTGCAGGGCTCGATGCCCTAACCCCAGGATCATGACCTGAGTCGAAGGCAGATGCTTAACTAAACTGAGCCACCCAGGTGTCCCAGTAAACTGATCTTTATCTTTATCTTCCTTTTTGTATCACTTCTTTTGGTGCTTTTTCAAATTGCTTGCCAAATACTTTAAAGTTATTACCCTGCCTCATACTTTTAGTATGAGGCAACTCATACTTTTAGTATGAGGCAACTCATACTCAACTTTTTTGGACCCCAAACTAATGAACAAGAGATAACCAAATGAATAACACAAGCAAGATGAATCATATTGGAAAATTATTTTGCAAAGGAGATAGGTAGTCATCATACTAGAAAGAGCTAGAGTTTGACAGTCTTGTGAGGCAGTAGAGCCAAATGACAGAAGGAAGGGCACAAATCACCCCATTACTAAGGGATCAGTTGACCTTCAGAACATCCTACACATTTCGTTCTGGCTCTTCAACAAGACGTGCACCTGGACACTGCCCATAAAAAGTGAGACAATACTCTGACAACCAGCCTGTTTGCTCCCCTCTCAAGATAGAGCCTTTTCAAGAGACAAAACCAGGAGTTGAAGTTGTGAAAGTCAGGACTATGCAGCACTTTTTAAAAAATTGAGGGTAGCGGGTAGGATTCCTTAACAAAAATACCAGTCTGTTTTCTGGTTCAATCTCAACATAGTTCTGGTCAGAAGTTATTCAACTAGAGGCCTCTGAGGATGGAGAAATGAAGCTAAGGACACATAAAACTGGTTAGTTCTAGTGATTGCAGTGCAGAATGAAGAAGCAACTACTGTGTTGGTCTAACCTCATGTGTATACGGACAGATGCATCGTGCGTGCCATCTGATGTGTCTGCATCCAAACTGAAGTGCCTTTTTTTGGAAAGGGAGGTAACTTTATAGTGTAAAATCAGAATTTAGGGGTGCCTGGGTGGCTCAGATGGTTAAATAAACATCTCCCTTCGGTTCAGATTATGATCTCCAGGTCCTGAGGTCAAACCCTATGTTGGGCTCCCTGCTCAGCTGGGAGCCTGCTTCTCCCTCTCCTGCTCCTCCCCCTGCTCATGCGCTCTCTCTCTCTCTCAAATGAATAAATAAAATCTTAAAATCAGAATTTAGAATCAAGAGGTTCCCAAATAAGCCAAGATAAAATAATAATCTAATTTTAAGTCCATGTAGATAAAGCAGTTAAAATGTTTTCCTCAGGTGGTTATGCTATTGAAAAGATGGATAACTTTTTATTATTTGATCTTCAGCTTGGAACTATGACTATTTTAGGTCACAAGTTATAGACTGGTTTACAAATAGCTTTGGACTTTGAAATTGAGTGAGGGTCATATGATCTCAGCAGTTTTCTCAGAGCCTGTGGTTGAACTCATTATGTAATTATGAAATTTTTCAAGACAGCCTTTGAACCTCCTTGTACTAGAACTCTCTTCTTCTCAGCTCCTAATGTGTTTCATACAACTATCCTATCATACAACTTCCTGACATTCATTTATTTTTTTTTGATCTGCTTCCAATCCAGTCTCTTCTTTCTCCATTCATCATACCAAGATATCTCAGTATGCCTATAATATCTCATTTAGGAACCCCTTTGCACATTTTATTAAAAGGCAGTAAGAATCTGAGACCTTTTCCTCAACTTCAGTTTATATCAACCTGTCAGCACCATTTTTCCTCTCATCATTCCTTCACTTTGCTACTAAAATTTTAAACCTACAGTTAAAAAAAAAAAACACATAGTTTCCTAGCCTCTGTGTCTCTTTCTCTCTTTAGGACTTGTAAGAATATTTTACATTAAGATATTCATGCTCTTCGAAATATTTTGCAAACATGACCCAAAGTATTTCACTGTTCGTCTTGACTTGTGAGTTTATTCCTTTTTAAAATTTACTTGTTCAATAAATATGAACATGTGCAGAGAACTTTTTTGGCTTCTGATGCCTGAAGTACTCAAATAAATTTGTCATATTCACCATAGGTTCTGAGTCTTATTTTCAACTACATCCAACACTTACAGCTCTCCATCAAGTACACTATGTACTAGATTCCTAAAATTTTCAAAAACTTATTTTCCTATAAATATGAATCTAGATAGACGTTTTCATAAACTAGAAGATGGGAAGTTAATTTTCCCATAGAACTCTTCTTCATAGCTTTAGAATGTTCTCATTTCTTTGCTTGTGCATACCATGGTTTCATCGTTTACTTCAAGGATTTGCTCTGTATTTTGTTTGTACCTTTATGTCTATTCATATCAGTGCAGATTTAAATTATAAGAGTGTAAGTAGGAAACATGTTTATTTAGCCAAGTTGGCTCTATAATCAGATGAGATCACCTGGAGAGTCTAAAGAGAGTGGAGAGCAGAGGTCTAGAGCTGAACTCATCCATTACTAAAGATTTAGTCCTTTATAATCCAAGCCATTTTTCTAAGATCTCACCCTTTCCTACAACTTCTTTTGCCTGTGATACCCATATAATTCCAGATCCAATATTTTTCTTAAGCCCTATTCTAGAATTTTTATGCTGGGACATCTTTAACTTGAGTATCTTGCTGTCACATCAAACTTGGCTTATTTGTTCTTTTTGTTTTTTTAAAGATTCTATTTATTCATTCATGAGAGAGAGACAGAGAGACAGAGAGACAGGCAGAGGGGAGAAGCAGGCTCCATGCAGGGAGCCCAATGTGGGACTCGATCCGGGACTCTGGGATCATGCCCTGGGCCGAAGGCACTAAACTGCTGAGCCACCCAGGCATCCCCAAACTTGGCTTATTTGAAAACAAATCATCCTCCATTTAAAAATCAGCTCTACTTGGGGCACCTGGGTGGCTCCATCAGTTAAGCATCCAATTCTTGGTTTAAGCTCAGGTCGTGATCTCAGGGTTGTAGAATTAAGCCCCATGTCAGGATCTGCAGTTAGCATGGATGGAGTCTGCTTGTCCCTCTGCCTCTTCTCCTCCCCCTTCTCTTTCTGTCTCATAAATAAACAAACAAACAAACAAACAAATAAATAAATAAAATCTTTAAAAAAATCAGTTCTACTTATGATTAGTTTCAATATTTCTCTTCATGGTACTGCTTCTTTCCCAATCTCCCAAATTCAAACCCATCACCCAAGATCATTGTCACCTTCTTTCCTACTCTATTTCCATTTATCAGCTTCTATTAATAAAATGGCCTTCCCAAGATGGCCTTCCCTGAGCAATGATTCACTTTAGGAAATCAGAAAATGTCACTTGGAAACCTCAAGATATACATGCCCAATTGCAACCAGATTTGTATGCTTGGCTAAACATGTCGACATTGAACAAATTTCAGTCTTCTGAATTCAATCTAGCATGAATATCATTTTTATAAGATAGTTGTTATTCTACTCAGTTCCTTACACAAGTACAGTTAAATGTCACTCATATACACAAACTATTGAAAACACCTAATGGAATGTGATAGTACTTATGTAGTAGATTTGAGTTTGCTGTTTGAAAAGCTAATGGTATGGGCGGTTAAACAATTAGCTGGATAGTTGCTATGATTTGAATTCACTTTAAGTGAAACACAGGGGATCCCTGGGTGGCGCAGCGGTTTGGCGCCTGCCTTTGGCCCAGGGCGCGATCCTGGAGACCCGGGATCGAATCCCACGTCGGGCTCCCAGTGGAGCCTGCTTCTCCCTCTGCCTGTGTCTCTGCCTCTCTCTCTCACTGTGTGCCTATCGTAAATAAATAAATTTAAAAAAAAATTAAAAAAAAAAATAAGTGAAACACATCCAGTATTTTGGAGAATATAAACTTCCAAGAGAGGAGGGATTTTTAATTTTTTTTCATGCTACCTTCCCAGGGACTAAAACAATACCTGGCCCATAATGAGCCCTTAATAAATATTTGTTCAGTGAATGACTATAGTCCCCGTTCTGGACAGATACTGAAGCTGTCTAAAAGACCATCACACTATAGAATTTAAACAGCACCTTTAAGTCAGTCACTCTTGAGAACTGTTTATGTTACTTCTACTTCCTCCATACCCAGAGGAATAGCCAAATTTCCTCAAGTTTGGAACACATGATTTAAAAAGCAATTCTAGGATAGGGCTTGATCTTTTGAGAAAGTTGTGCAGGTAGAAATTTTTAAAAATACTGCATTCTGACTTCTTGTCTGGACAAGAAGGCGTGCTCATTTCTCTTTGCTCCTTCCTAAGTACAATGATCAATTCTGGATAACTAGGATTCTAAAATAATGCAAAAGGCATCAGAAAGAGATGGATAGGAAGAAGAAAACAAGCCAGCTAAGTAATCCCAAGACTGGAAGAGAAACATGGTTGCAGAGTGTCTTACAACCTCCCACCCAATAGGATGTGACCCAAACTTGGTTGTTTCCTGACTCCCAACCTCAAAAATACAGGAGTCCATCCTATCCCAGATGGAATTGGAGTCCTGATGACCGACACCAGATGAATCATACCACCAGCAAGGGCAATATATAGGCGTCTCAACTGACAAGTGTCCAGGGGAAGCACTGTTACTTTTCTGCAAGGCCTGAGCCTCCTCTTCCTTGCTGAGAACCTGGACAGCCAGAGGGCACTACCAAAGCGGATCCTACCACCAAAGGCCTGATCCAGGAAGCTTTTTCATCACTATGGACAGGAGGCTTCTTACCCCAATCTATAGGTGCCAGTGACCTACATGGGGAAACTTCTTCCCCCTAAACCAGCACCATTGAGGACCATATGGAACCCCAGCAGGACCAGATAAGCAAAACACACCGAAAGGCTCTGAAAATTAAAATGCCCCTTTTTTGCCTACCAAAAAGTAGGCCAGAGTCTGCATGCTAAGCATAAATAGAGTGATTACTTGCTAAAATGAAAGATTAAGACCCAGAGTCTCCTAACAGACAAAATATCCAGGATGCAATCTAAAATTCCTTGTTGTACCAAGAATCAAGAACATCACACTGGAATGAGAAAAGATAGTTAACCGATGATGCCACCAAAATGAACCAGATGTTGGAATTACCAGACAAGGATTTTAAAGCAGCCATCATAAAAATGCCTCTACAAATAATTACATATTCTTTCAGAACAAAAATAAAAGTTAACAAAAATATCACTATGTTGTGTACATTATTTACCAATTTTTATTTTTATTTTTTTTAATTATTTATTTATGATAGTCATACAGAGAGAGAGAGAGAGGCAGAGACAAGGCAGAGACATAGGCAGAGGGAGAAGCAGGCTCCATGCACCGGGAGCCCGACGTGGGATTTGATCCCGGGTCTCCAGGATTGCGCCCTGGGCCAAAGGCAGGCGCCAAACCGCTGCGCCACCCAGGGATCCCCAATTTACCAATTTTTAGAAAAAGAAATAATGGTGATTATTTAACTGAAAAATACAATAACCAAATAAACTTAATGAATGGTACAGTAGACATGACAGAAGATTAAATCAGGAGCTTGAGGGATCCCTGGATAGCTCAGTCAGTTAAGTGTCTGCCTTCAGCTCAGGTCATGATCCCAGAGTACCAGGATGGAGCCCACATCTAGCTCCCCACTCAAGGGGAAGTCTGCTTCTCCCTCTGCCCCTCCCCCTGCTCATGTTCTCTCTCTCTCTCTCAAAAAAATAAATAAGCTTATCAGTAACTTGAAAATAAACCAATAGAGTTTATGCAATCTGAATTAGAAAAGGTGGGGGGAAAAATGAACCTTGGTGATCTGTGGATAATAACAAAAGTGCCAACATTCATATATTTGAAGTCCCAGAAATAGAGAAGAAAAAAGAATAGAGCTGGGAAGAAATAATGGATGGAAACCTCTCAGATTTAGCAAAAGATACAATTATACAAAAGAGCTGAGTGGACCACCAATAGGATAAACTTAAATCCAAAAGACACATCATAATTAAACGTGAAAAATAAAAACAAAGAAAAAGAAATCAAAAGCACGTAGAGAAAAGTGACCCACTACTAGAGGGGGACACAATTTGAGTGACAGCAGATTTTCATCAGAAACCATGGGGATCAGAAAGAGGTGGCATAATATTTTCAAGTGCTGAAAGAAAAAAACCTGTTAATTGCAAATTCTGTTCTCCTCCCAACTATCTTGCAGGAATGAAGGGGAAATAATAACATTTTCAGGTGAAGCAAAACTGAAAGTATACATGGCTAGCAAACCTACCCCAAAAGAGTGCCTAATGGAAGTTCCTCAAACAGAAATGAAATAATAAAAGGCATCCTGGAGCATCAGAAAGGAAGATCAATGGAAATAATAGAATTGGGGATGCATTTGCAATAAATATGGTCCTCATGCCTTTTATTTTTAAAATTGTTTAATTTAAATTCAATTTGCCACATAGAACACCTTGTGCTAGTCTCATTGTGTGCCTTCCTTAATGCCCATCACCCAGTAACCCTATCCCCCCCGCTGCCTCCCCTTCTGTAACCCTCATGACTTTTATGAACCACATTTGATGATTGAGGCAAAAATTCTAATTTCATCATTTGAGGCTCAAGACAATGATATTTAGAAGTAGGGAACGTCAAGAGACCTAAATGGAAGTGAGATTTCATTTCATGTGAAGTGGTAAAATGCTAATACCAGGAGACCGTTGTTAATCATAAATGTATATTGTAATACCCAGAGCATCCACTGGAAAAACTATACAAAGACATGCACTCAAATGCTATGATTAAATCAAGATGGAAGGCAGGGAAAGGGAAGTAAGATGGAGGAAACAACAAGAAAGAAACAACTAATTAAATGGCACGCCAACAAACAAGTGGAGGAAACAAAACAAATGATTAAAGGGCATACGAGCTCAACCACCTCAATCATTATCTTGAGTATCATTGGTGAAAATACACTAAAATATGGATATTGGCAGAGTGGATAAAAAAACTATATAATTACATGCCATTTACAAGAA